CACAGAACTTGGCTGGAGATTGTGGCTAGAGATCCTGGCAAGGCTGCTGATCAACTGAACGCTGTTTCCGTGTCATTCCTTCTTCGCCGACTCCGTCCACACCTTTGGGGACCCCTGGACCTGCTGGGGTTGGACCCCAGCAGTATTTTAATTTCTGAAAGGAAGTCCAGGCAGACTCTCATTCAGGCTACTGGATCCATATATGAACCAAACTGGAATCATTTCCACATCAAATCTCAGTTTCTGCCATTCTATGAAAAAATAACTTTCTCCTCCTCCAACTACATTTACATAAAACTCTGAACTGGGAGAACAGAGTCCTACACTTGTAGATGCAATCAGTTTCCTTTGCTGCCCTTACTATATTCAGTTAAGGTGGACTGTGGGATTAAGATGTGACAAACAAACACACAGTGCTACTTACTCTTCTATTTCTTGTCTTTGGTTCTCTATTCTGATATGGCCATTCTGAGTTCCTAAAAATGTGAACCCATACCTGTCAAAAACAATAAAAAAGACATTTGTATCTCTCTAAAAAATGATTCCTTTCCTTTGCACTGGGATTACTTGTAATCTTTTATTGTTTTCTTCTCTTTCATATGATATCAATCTATAATCTTCCCTTTACTGGCTGAAATGATAACACAGCAAATCAATGAAGAGTCACAAATTGTAACCAAAAATGAGGCAATTTGTAAATCCAATTCTGTAACTAACACACTGCGTGACCTTTTAGTCACTTAATTATCTTGGCCCTCATGGGTCAAATTGACTATCTTTACCAAATGATGTCAAAATTGCTGGGAGCACTTCAGAAATAACGTGTGTTGTACAAAAAGTGACCACTGTTATGATCTGAAAAATATAATATGAACATTTAGACTTCTGGCTGGTATGCATAAATAGTAATATAAGTTACACCTATGCATTACTATTTTCTTTTTGCTCTTAATTGGTTAGGGTTTGGGAATTTTTCCTAAACTTTCAGATTAAGGAGTCTGACTTTTTACTAAAGAATAAGTATATTTATAAGATAAGGTTACTGAAGCAAACAGAGAGAAAAAAATAACTCCTGTCCTGTGATTTCACTTTCTCAGGACAAGTATAGAAAGTGCTTCATTTTTTTTCACTCTTCAAAAATGCTAATGTATTTCTCAACAACGTATCTCAGGGTTTTAAAACTGCTGTATTGAGGTATAATGATATATGAAGAACTCCACATATTTAATGTATGCAATTTGATGAGTTTGGACACATGCAAACACCTGTGATACTAAAATACTGTATTGTTAACTATAGGTATGACACTCTAGACCAGACCTCTAGAATGCATTCATGTGCTTACTTTTTAGCTCCTTTCACCAAAGCTATTTCATCTGGTGAAGAGGCCACATAGGTTAATTCAGCTGATTCTGTAGCTCCATCAACAGCATCATTTACTTTAATTTCTACAGTATGGCATAAACACAAGGCACGCAGAAAGAGCTCTTCTCGATTCTGTTAAACAGTAACAATAAAAAATGACTATTATTTTCACCTTGATCACTTGGTAACTAGTCCATGAACAGAGTTAGCAGAAATTTATAAATTCTTAATACTCGGCTGAGCTATATATCTTCCTAGTTCCTAACAACATTCCTGGTTCTCAGCTAACATACCGTAGGGGCTGTGTTAATTCATTCAGGTTAGTGTAGCGCTACCTAATACCCAAGGGGGTGACTTTTTCTTGCCTAAAAGAGTTCATTCAGTATCTAATTCACAATCTGGCAATAGCTCAGGCACAGGGAGAGTCTGGTTCATTTACTGCTTAGACACTCCAGGGACTAAAATGATTTGAATTAGATCATTCTCGG